ACCCAACCAAACACGGGAGTATATTAAAAGCTCTACTCCGGTATAAAAGACTAAGGTTCAGTATGAAAGGGAAGTCTAGTCTGGATCATGGGAAAGGAAAATCTTAAACACTTTAGACCAAAGTCCTCTAGTCAGAGGCAACCGATAGAGCTATTGTATTCCAGACCCCATTGAAGTTCTAAATCTAAATGAAAAGAGGACAACAGCAACACTCATGGCAGGTAACCATTCGGCATTCGAAGGAAGACCAAGCCCTAAAAGGGTGAACTTTGAGACCAGTCCAAGGAGGATTCCAAGCTGGGCGGCAAGGAGTCTAAACGCTCTAACATTACCACCACTGTGGAAGTGATAGATCATACGAAGGAAATATTAGGCTTGACCCGCGCACTTGATTTCAAAGTCGTGGTGTTAGTGGTTCTAGTGATCCTCAAAATCATTAAGATGTAGATCTGTGCAGCGGCGTCGGAATCAGCATAAGAAAATATCGTGCAAGAAATAAATCCACGCTATCCAATCAATAAAGCAGCACCAAAAGTAAAAAATGAAATCTACTTACTGGACCGTCTTTAATGAATTGAAAATTTGTCAAATAAAAAAATAAAAGAAATTTCAAAAATTTCTTGAACATCGGCAGAAATTGGGGGATAATTAATAAAATTAAAAAATATTTAAAATTTTTTTAAAAGTGTGAGCTTGGCAACTAGTTTACCAGAAAAAAGTAGATATCCCTGTTTGGTGTCAATATTATTAATTTGAATTTGCTGTCCATGAACTGCTGTGATCATCATGAGCAATAATGTTATCCGTGCCAGGTGCCTGTGAAATTAAAAGTAATTGTGTTTTGAAGTAGTAGTTAATCTATTTTTATTAGTAATTTTGTAATGGTCAGAGTCTGTGTGTTCCTTATTTTTGGTTGGCTTAAATGCATTTTCTAATTTCTGTAGTTAGTCCTTTTCTGTATCTTGTGGCAGCTTCATATTCCGTTATTTATTTGTTTTGTTGGGTATTTAATATTGGTAGTCCGCCTGCAGGGGCCTGTCCGGTGGTATGATTTTTGGTCTTTTGATTGTATAAGTTAAATATATCTCCTTGAGCAGCTTTCAAGCTTTGCAAGAACTGAAGTACAGACAATATTTTTTCCTTAGCTTACCCTACGCAACAAAGCATCGCGCCATCAAGACATTAGCGGCAAGCCGACTCAGCATTACTTGCGGCGCAGCGCAACACTGCAAATGGGAAGTATCGGCTTTCCAACGCCGAACGTTCCCAGCGCAGAGCGCTGATTTCAATTATGGCGCGTCGACATTGTTTATGTGAAGCTACTTAGTTGCTAAGGGAATATTAACTTGATTGTTTGTTAACTTATATGTTAAGTATGGATTCTATTTAGCTTAGTTTGGTTTTGTCGTCCTCTCATGTTTTATTTATGCGAGTCCTGTTAGTAATTATTTTATGTAGCCTTTGTTGTGTTAAGCTGCAAGTCTATTTCCTCACTCTCCAGCCATTGTTTGAGGTTGTATATGCACATATGCGAATTTTAGCATTCTATCCAGTCTTTTGCTTTTACTTCTTCTAGTGATGCAAATTACGAATAAATTTCTACACCTGCCTTTGAATTGGTAAATATATACCATTTTTTGTGGTGCTTTGGGTGTGGTTTTCATAGCAAATAATAAGTCTCCCCGAAAATCTTAGTAGTTTTCTGTATGCCTGGAAGTATAAGTCTTTCATGAGCAGCGAAGATAAATTCTTTTAATTCTGCATAATTTGTTATGGTAAATTGCTTGAATTTTTTGTTTATTTTTAGTTTATTTATTGGTTAGTTGAGTGGCTTTGAAATCTGCATTACAATGTACAACGCACTTTTTTTACAGCATAAATTGGTGAATGTCTTGTACCCCACGGTCTCGACGTGGATCATCGGAAAGATAATCATTTTTTCGTTTAGTTGTAGTAATTATTTAAGATAAGTTGGAATTTATTTTATCAACAGTTTTGAAACACCACCTAATAGAACTGATAAAAAAATTTCCTGCCCTAGACAAAGTCAGTGGAAAGGTTACGTGGATTACATTCATATTTTCGACGATTCATTAAAGATTTTGTTTATACTAGCTAAACCGTTATATAATCTGTTAAGAAAGGACGAAAAAAATTGACACTACCAACCTAAAATATGACCAGGCATTCAAAAAATTAAAGCACCTAATATCAGAGGACCCAATTAATTACCCAATTATGTCGCTTTGGAAGCAGAACTCGTACAAGCGTGACACCTTAGTTACTTCAGCCGAACGCTAAATGAACACGAAAAGAACTACAGCACAATTGAAAAGGAACTCCTAGCAATTATATGGGTGACTTTTCGACACTACTTACTTGAAAGACACTTTATTATATATCTAGTGACCATCAGCCAATGACCTGGTTGTTCCGTACACCCAAAATCAAAACTCCTCGAATGGATATTAAAATTTTGCGTTTTCTATTTTGACATAAAGTATATAAATGGAAATGGATGGAATGCTATAGTCGAGTTTCCCGACTATCAAAAAATAATTAGAAGAAAAAAAACTTAAAAGTTTTTTAAAAGTGTGGCCGTTACAGTTTTGTGCGGTTTGCGTCCGTCCGACAGACGGAATTGACCAAATCGACTCGGCTATTGATCATGAATATACATATATACTTTATATGGGGTCGGAAATGCTTTATTCTGTCTGCTACATACTTTTCAACGAATCTAGTATACCCCTTTACTCTACGAGTTACGGGTAAAATATAGAAAATCTAGGAACTCTGTTACGTCAAAATTACACCACTCTAATCCTGGGCGATGAGATCAGAACGCGTTGGATCCTATGAGTTACTATAGTATTAAGCACATTATCATTGCATTTTCATCGCTTTAAATTATTAGGGGAGAGACCGCGCGAGAGAGCGTCGACTTTGCAGCCGAAGCAGTTGGCTCTATATGTGTAGCCGATGATTTTGTGATGTTTTTCAGTAGCGATGAATTGTGGAACTGTAGGGTAGACATAAATTTGCAATTCAACATATATTATATATATTTTATATAGATAAAACGAAATGTAATACCCATAAAAAAATACACAATTGTCTATCTATGTATATATATATATGTTCACTGCGCCACGTTTCAACCGCTTTCTGATTCTTCAATTACTTGGTCGTCGCACTTGTTTTGGATGTTATTGTTGTTACTTTATTTTAGCTGGCATTTAAAAAAATGCGTAGGTCCATTATTTTCTTTTGTTTGTCTTGACGGCTGTTTGTGTCGGTTGTAATTATTTGATTTTAATTGGCTGGTTATTATTATCACTGCACTACTAGGTATGCTTTCACGATGTAACTTGCTTATGGGGGATGCCGGACAAGGTCTTTTCCAACGCAGGTCACGACGACACTGCACTTGACTAGTTTTAATATAGCCAGATACACAACAGTATAGCGATGAAATTAAGGTTGTGCTGCGCGCCTAAAATCTCGTCCTTGTGCTTTATTACTTCCAAGGTATTGATGACATTGGCGGGGTAGTCGAAGGCTTGGGACTTCTTCTTGAAAAGTCCTATCTACTGATTTAAGGAGCAGGTCTTCCTTCACGATGGTTATTTGACACTCGTTTATTATCGTACTGCATTTTCTTTGTTGCATTGACTCCGACTCAACGAGGTAGTTCCTCTGGTTTAGATTCTGGCTGTTTGATCTGTGAATCTTCAAAGTCTTTTGATCTTAAGAGAGGGGTGTACAAAACAATATATCCTTGTGTTTTTACTGCTGTCCCAGTGAAATAGGTGCAACCAACTCGCTCAATGGCTGTGCAACTTTTCCTTTATCGTGCAATTATCCTTTTCTTGGTGTGGTGTGGTGTGTGTGTTCCTTGCTAAGTGTGGTGGATCGTCGCCGCGTGGTTCTGGTGAAATGGCGTGAATTGACGTTTGCAGACCGAGACCTGCCACCCTAACTTTGAGCTAAACGACGGCGAACTGGATAAGATCTTTGTCAGGCATTGTGAATAAGGACCACTTATGATGTTCTAAAATACTATACCTTGAGACAATGCTAACGAATGACACCTCGAACACATACTTGTCCGGCAAAAGAAAAATCGAAAGAAAAACAAAAAAAAAACAAACCTATGCAAGTTAAGAACCCCAAAAAAAATAAATAAAAAAAGAAGTGTAGGGAACAAGTAATTAGGGAAGTGCCAGAATCTTTTGGAATATTATTTTTATGATTTATGTAATCCAAAAGTTTTTTTTTTACCTCAGGCATCATTCTAAATAATTATTATATGGATTTGAAAAGAACTGCCTTCATTTCTCTAAAAATCTAAATTTGTTTGGCCTCTAAAGGTAGTTCCCCCCTTAGTTCAGATATACACATAAAACTTACTATACCAAAGTTCTGCTTGAACACCTGACTAGTGCCTCCTCACTTTCTATAATAGCTGTTCTTATTTTTAAAAGTAATTTATTTATATTCGTTTACATAACGCAAAGCATACTTTTTTAAAACAAAAACAGTGTGGTGCATTAAATTTTATATTTTAGCTATTGGTCGGTTTATTATATTATATTTTTGTTAGGTGCACTTACATCAAAATAAATTATTTGGGTAAACCAAAATTACCCCAGCCCAGTCAAATGTGATTGCACAACTTTCAATTACTACAGCTAAAAGCCACTCTAATGTACACAAATTTACAATTATAATAAATATTTCCAGGTTTTACAAATAAGCAGTCTTGAAAATAAGAATACTCTTTCTTTATCGCATATTCCCCGCACTCTGACTAGCGGGTATATGAAGGAATTGAACTGCGTCATTCTGTCTTCTTAGCTACCATATGCTGGAAGAGCATTATGTCTCTTTTGTAAGCACAGAGATAATTTATTTTATTATTATGTCGCATTTTTATTGTGAGTTTAACATTTAACATATTAAAGCTTAATATTTCAAAACTATTTATTTATTTTTAGATAAATACTACATTTTCACGACAGAATCAGTATATGTTCCTATTCAAAAAACATTTGTTTTTTGACAATTATATTAATTTAGATGATATTGTTGAAAAGGAACTCTTATACCATCAAATTCTGCATAGCCTAAGAAGTGAAAGATATCCAATAACTGAAATGGAAGCGATTATGCTAACTGCTCTGCAAAGCCAGCTTGAGCGTGGTGACTGCAGTGAATTAATAACTGATTACAGGGCTGTCGCTAGTCATTGCTTACCACCAAGATTTGTACCAAATATACCACATGAAGCTGTCGCAATGCATCATCAAAGCCTTAGAGGAATGTTACCAACAGAGGCTAAGAAAGCTTTTCTAAATTTAATAAAAAGCTGGCCTCTTCATCGAGCGACTATTTTTGATGTTATGGTAAGCAAAATTGATTTAAATTATCCGTGGTCATTGCCTAGTATTTTTACACCCTTGTTGTAAACTGTCTTGCAAATAAACGTAAATATAGATCGGGCTCAGCTGTTGATACTCATATAAAATTAAATATATAGCTTTATATGGTCGCAAATGAATCATTCTCTGCGTTACACACTTCAGACTGAAATCAAGCATAACATACGATTTACACAAAACATTACAAAAGCTTTTAAAATTGTTCACATTTTTTTCACACTTTTTTATCACAGTTTTATGTTATTATCATTATCAACGCATTCCATCACCTTTTAGGTAAGGTGTCTGTAATTTCATTTAAATTCAATAGTTTCATCTCTATTTCAAAAGATAATCGTCAAAATAATGTGTAATGTAATAAATCGCACAGCCTTCAAGCTTTGTATAGGGTATATTGGTTTATGTCTGAATTTTTCAGGAAGGATACATTGTGGACCATATTAAGTATATAGATACGTATCTTAATGAACAAGCTTCTGCGTTTTGGGGTCGCATGGGACGTCGTTGCGCTCTTAAAATTAAATCAAGGTAATATCAATTTCGAAAATAACATTAAGTAGAAACAGCCAGGCTTGGATGAATTAAAACAAATCGGTCATATTGTTTTCTGAAAAAACTAAGAATTTCTGAACGCAACAAACGCATTATAAAACTGTTATACCGCGAGTTAAAAAAAAGGGAGCCACTCTAGAATTGCAAATAAACAAAACGATCAACCAGAAAACACCACAACCCAAGGCGACGAAAGGGAGCCCGGGGTTCCAATGTTCAGATTCTTCACAGGATTAACCTCAGAGCTCAAGGAAAGTCTTGCTGGGCAGATGCGAGATAGAGAGGCACTTAGAATATGTAGCCTTTAGAAAAAGTGTTACCTCATAATAGGGTAGCATTCTACAACGCTGAGGGGAAAGCGTGAGGCCATTATTTCACGCATGCCTCACTTTAACTGAACTCATCGCTCAAACTACGTCAAATTTTTCAACCGCCGACATAATAATTTTCGAATCATATAATAATTATTAAAACGAAACACGATACACGAAGTACGATAAAGCTGCACTGCTACTTATGATCGGGACATATCGACGAGAAAACAAAGCGCAACTAAACTTATCGTTTATTTATATTAAGGAACTGCCGACAAAAATGAAGTATGAGATATTCAAGAGAGAGATATTCACCTCAAGAGACAAAACGGCCCGACGGCGTTTTTTTCCCGTCGAAGAAGTGTTTGCGTCAAGAGGCGAGCAGAGCCTAGCCGAACTAACTAGTGGAAGCTGATTATTCTTAATAATTCTGTTCGCGCCTTAAAGGCATTGAGTTTTATTATTATTTTCATTTTGATAATTATTTTATCGATTTATCTGAACCTAGAATCACTCGCTTTTGTCGTTTGTTTGTCATTATGCGGGTCCTTTGATTCATTAATATACAAAAGTGCATGCGCGGTAGTAGTAAAGTTCAAAAACAAAAAAAAAGGTTTCATATAAATGCACACAGTCTTTCTGGAATGGAAAAATGTAGATACCACTTTCTAAATTCATACGTCGATATTATATGTGTATCTGAAACTTAGTTTGTCTCAAATATACCGGATATTCGAATTTACTGATTGAAATTTGAATCGCTTTTGATGTGAAAGCTTGCAAAATATGTTAAAAAGGTTAGTTCTATATTCGTATATAAACAGTCAACAGTTGCTCTGGTAACAGAATACAAATTAAATATTATTATGAGTGGGTCAGGGGCCGGTCCATCGCAGCAGTCAGTGTACTTTGGCCGGTCGGCCGATGTGCGTAGCCCACAGGTCGCGGGAGGTCGTTTCTCGCTCCAGTTGGATATCGCTAAAAGCGTTTAGCCGGCTGGCTGTAGTTCCTATGTTGGAATAGGAAGATTATGTTGGTAAGGGAACCTCCCCTTCTTAACTACTGGCCTAGAGACACAGTCAGTTTTCAATATGATAAAAGATATTTAACGGCTGTTGCCGGAGTTGCTTTGCATGAGCTAGTGCTCTTGTTTATTAAGGTGCTCAAGGCAATCAGATGTGTGCCGTTGGTAGCTATTTCGGGGCCGTCGTCAGTGCTGACTTTAGTTGGGCACTCATTGATTATTTTTACTCCGTCGTCCAGCAATGTGATGGGGCTTAAATGGCTGGCCTGTGTTTTGCATAGTGCAGTGCTCCCCGCATGCAGGCCTCGAGCGCAAGTATCGTGGTTTGCCAGGTTACAGTACGATGCGTAAGTTGTTAGTACGCAATCGGTAACTGCCAGGACGTCGTTGTTGCATTCCGCTAATATATTATGTTCTCCGTTAGTTGCAGAATGATGTGTTGGTGTGATACAGGGAAAATTGAGACCTTTCTACAAGTGACTTTAATATTGGGATATGCAATTATCACATGGATAATATTATCGGACTGGAAGATTCTGAAATTAGATGCCTTTATTAGGCTTATAACGGGGATTTCTGTGGGGTGATCAATTAGTACAGACTTCGTCATGGTTAAAAATGGCAGGGTTTATGATATGGGCTTAAGCCAGTGTGACGGTAAGCATTAAATTTTGAATTTCGGTTATTAACATTCTATATCTAGCCAACAGTATCTCATATAAGTGAGGAGTGTCAACCATATTATTTTGTTTTGCTTGAATGATTTTATTAACTGCCTCTTTATTATGGGTTTGTGTGTTAATGACTTCCTGCCTATTATTTGACTCTATTAACCGGGATTCCGACATTTTAAACATTTCAAAATCGGAGGCATCAGGTGTGCCCGCTTTTACCTTAAGTGCGGTGCCTAGAAAGTTTAGGCTCCTGGCGATCCTATGATTAACTTGTAATAACTTATAAACTTTTTATTCGGTCAGTATCGACATTTAACAATTTTCGCAAAGGCGACTCTGGGAATAAATCGGACAACCAACTAGTTTATTGTGCCATTATTAAGAATTCGGTCAGATTACTAGAATGCCGAAGCAAATTTCTATGTTACCACGCCAGTGCAACACCGACCGTGATAGGAATATACTGGGAGTGCGAGTAGTCTGTCACTTTAGCGTTAACTATAGATGAGGGAATTGAAGAGATGTAAAAGTGAGGGTCTTTTTTATCTGAGGTTGTCCTAATGGACAATTATCTATTGAGAACAGATGTTCCCATGTCTGCTTCTACACGCTCTCCTGTATAGAGTGCGGTTAGTTTATTCCGTAACGTTTTGTTGTTTTTGAGATATACCTTTTCTCCTACCTCAAAAATTTTATTTTTTCTAGTAGGGTTGTGCCCATCTAGATTAGCCTGTTGCGCTTTTTCGATGCTGTTTCTAATTGCCAGTCTTTGAGCGTCGTTTGCTGAGTGTAAGGCATATTTGGGTTGTAAATATGTGACTGAGTGTAATGTCTTATTATACTCTACCGTGGCTCTCATGATGATTTCGACGGTGTCGTCAACCTTTTTGTCAATTTTAATGCACCTAGCTATTTCCGTTAGGGTGCAGTGGAATCGCTCCACTTGCCCGTTGGAGCTACTATGTAAAGGGGGTGCATTAACGATGTCAATGTCATATTGGTTTTTCAATAACGAAGGTACGGTCTCCGAATTGAAGGATGCCTCATTATCGCAGTATATTGTTTTGGTATTTGGTAATTAACCTTACAGTCTTTTAATGTGCGAGATATCATAGTGATTGGTCGTCCCTTTTGGGACAGTACCGCACAGATACCGCTTACTGAAGCATCGGTAGTCAAGTAGAAAGGGTTCTTAAAGTATTAATATGTTAGTATTACATCTTCCGATAGAATGTCTCGCAGGCGCTTGAACGCTCTGCGTCTGGTCTCATCAAATTCAATAGCGACCTTTTTTGACATGTGTTTATTAACAGTGCCATTCTCTCCCTTAAGTATTGAGGTAAGTGGTCTAGCTATGGAAGAGAAGTCTTTAACAAAACTTATGTAATAACTGGCCAGTCCAAGAAAGGACCTGAGGCTGAAAAATTTTTTTGGTTCGGTGTAGTCTTAAATGGTTTTTACCTTTACCGGGTCGGTTCCGGAGCCAACCGTTTGATGTAGCAATAAAACCTAAAAATTCAACACTTTATTTGAAGAATTTAGTTTTTTCAGGTGCCACTCTCATGTTAGGTTGGCAAAGAATTTAAGTACTGTGTCAATGTGTATGACGTGGTCAGCAGCATTTTCGGAGAAAATTATTACGTCGTCTACATAGACGTAACAAATTTTCCCGATTTGTTCGCGTAACACATCATCAGTCGCCCTTTGGAAGATGCTTACTACATTATTTAGTACAAAGGGTGGACAGAATTCATACTTTCCTCCGTTTATGGAGAAGGCAGTTCGCGGTCGTTTTCGACCAGATAAATCTGGTGGTACCCCGATTATAAGTCTAGGGTATTAAAAAATATTGTCTTTCCTAAGTTCTCTAGAATCATAGGAATACTTGGCATAGGGTACCGAAAAAAGTGTAGAAAGAATCTTGCAAAATTATTCAACAACAGCCGGCTCACATAGGTACTATGGGATTCTTAATCAGGAACAAGATCGTGGGAAATGCTGACTCGGTTTTAGAATCATATCAAACCCCCTTAAACTGGACTGCTATCTCGAAATGCTTGACGACTCATTACGCTGACAAACGAGATGTCACACCATCGAGTACCAAATGACGTCTCTAATACAGGGCAACCAGACGGTATCAGAATTGCATCAACGCGTCTATACTCACTTGTCGCTAATTTTGAACAATGGATCTTTTTGCTGTCTTTTCGAGACAAGGCCTTGGACACCTTTGTTAGAGGTCTCAACGGCGACTTACCAAGATTATTGGGATCCAGAGAACCAGATGACTTAACATCGGCTCTCCAGTTATGTGAGTAATTAGAAAATCAAAAGTTCAGAATCAATTACGCCAATAATAATCAAGCCAATTCGAGAAAATTCAACGGTCCTCCTGGA